TTTTTTAAGTATTGGCTTCTTTACAACTTATACTACAGTTATAAGTAGAATATATATTTGCAGGTCCACATACATTTACGGAAAATGAAACTATAGCAAAATATGAAATAATGGATGGAGCACCAGTCCGAGGCGAGTCTATTCCAATAAGAGTCTTTCTAGCAGGTTATGATTTAGCACCTACAATGCGTGATATCAATAAAAAATTTAGTGTTAGATATTACCTTAATCTAGTTCTCATGGACGAGGAAGATCGTAGATATTTCAAACAACAAGTAAGTTAAAAAAATATGCCTATAACTTGTTAATATTTTATTGATAACAATTAAATGATACAACTAAATACCGTTTCTAGGAAATAACCTTATGGAGAAAGGGAGAAAAGAGTAGAAAATCTCAAACTGCTTCTCCACATATGCCATCGCATTTAGTATCGGCAGAAACGGGATTTCCACAAGGAGCTGCTCAAAATGGTCCGCCATCTGTGACTCCACCAGTTCAATCAGGACAACTACCATCCGCTAACATTACCAATGTAGAGGATGCACAAGCGCCAATAGAAAGCATGACACGCGAAGAAGGAGATGGTGAAGGTGCAAAAGAAGTTAATTCTGAAAGTAACTGAATTTTTGCATGCGAAACAGTTACTGAAGTCAATGGAAGTTTTACTAATTCAAAGAATGAGTAATAACTTCGTACGGAACTAGTAGTTTAAAACAAAACTCCTCTTGTACTGTAAAGAGAGATTGAATTTTAGGAACTACGAAAAATCGAAACATCTGCGAGTAAAGTTGTAAATATTTTGGATACCTATAAATAATGCGGATGATTAAATTGAATAAGTAGCCAATTATCGATCAAAATTTCAAATTATCAAGAGCTATAGATAACATACTATGGCGTCTAATGGGACAGACCTGAAATAGTTATACAGAAAAGATAATATAAAACAAAATAATGCAACCATATAAAATGGATATTTATAAATGGACAGTTTAATAACTGAATATTAATCAGCGGTATATTCTCGAATAACATCTGAATGTTACAGTGTTCAGAATATTTTATACAACTGTATTATGTGTTATATTCTCAAAGACCTTTATCAAAATCTTTTGTGTTATATTATCAGACCTCTCAAATGGCCAATTTCTGTCATATGAGAGTTTTATAAATCTGAAATGAATATACATATACTCATAATGGCTGCCCTATTTTAATCCATTCAGCTAGTCTGCAACTAATATGGTAAAGGCACCGAGAGAAATGCTTTTATATATAACACCTTATTATCGAAATAATTTTTGGGAGAATGTGATTTTTTCAACAAAAGTTTTTATTAATATTCGCAATAAAAATTATTAATAAACTATATTAAGATACAAGCATAGTGTATAAAATAATATCAATAGTTCTGTCCCAATTATAGTATAATTGTATATACAAATAACTGAATTGTATATGCTAATTAATTTTTTAGTAGAATTTTTATGCAGTCTCAAGGATCTTAATATAAATTATTGTAAGAAATACATGCCTTAGTATGTTTATTCAATTTTTAGTATGCCTTTATTAATATAAGAGTGGACTATGATAGATTAAAAAATGGGATGGCCCCACATGTATTTATATATATACATATGTGTGTGGATATATACATGCATATATATGATTTTTAATGATAGCAGTAGTTATAAACTGGGTTATATATACACACACACACATACACAAGTATCCATGTCTATTGTAATAATACTGAAACGTGTTCTATCCAGGTAGTATCATGATTGCTACCACGATGGAAATAATATGCCGGTACAAGAAAAATACCCATCGTTTTGTACAATTCTATGTTAACATGGGTTGACTAAAGAATCTTGTTGAAAAAGAAAAACTGCATAATAGTCAGCCGCGTGTATTTCGAGAATTTTTTGTTTCATGTAAATTAAAATTTTCACATTTCACGCCTTTGTTATTTGTTGACAAGAAAGATATATGTGTAAAAGAGAAAAAACAAAACTATTTGTGAATTATTTGACATGTCAAATATTGTATATACATATACATATTGTCATACGATATAAAACTAGCTGCATATTTTAATGCCCACATAAATATATTATACATCGCATACAGTGTGCCATTGTGCGCACGTGTATCGGAAAACATTACTTCGTCTATGCATACACCCTTCCTATCGTTTTATATATATACAAAATCGAGTATCACCAAATTTTTATTCTCACTTATCTATAACTTGTTTTTTATCTGAATGAAATAGACATATCAAGTGCAGATTTTACCATGACAAATAAACTATGGATTTAAGTGCAATTAATTTTACGACGAATTTATGAAGGATGGAATCAACAAATGCTAACGCAATAGAATTTTATAACGACAATTAAAACGTCGATTAAAATTTCCCTAGTTTTTCAAACCATTTCCCTTCTTTTTTTAAATTACCTCAGTTATAAGGAAAATATGATTAAGTGCCTTCGCAAAGCACGATTAGTATTTTAGTAAATAAGAGTAACATTTTAAACGTAAGTTCACAGTAATTAAAAGAGTTCATTACTTTTTCTTTTTAAAAGTATAGAAGAAAGAATACGACTTTAATTAAGTCAGTATTAATTATTTCATGAAGTTATTATCTTGAATTCTTGTTTGTAATTTTAATAATTTAATTATTACAATCTATAGTTCAAAATATGATTATGTATAGTAACAAAATATTGTAAGATTACAAGTGTAACAAGAATAGTTTTATATTAATAATTTTTTTCTATTTAGTTTTATAATCCTAAACAAATTTGAAAAAAAAATAAACCAAAAATATACAATAACACACCAATTACAAATCAATAGTCAATGACGTTCAAATGGTCAATAGAAAATATATATTTTAAACTCGTATATAAAACGTTAATTTTACAATATCTAAAATTTTCATATACTATAATAATTAATATTTTAAAGTACCAGAACTAAACATTTTTAACTGTACTTTATTTGTTTTCATTAACGAATAAATTGTATATTTGTCTGTAATATATATTAAATATGGTGTACGTGGAAATCAAGCTTAAATAAATATACTGATACCAAGCCGGTACGTAATATCCTGCAAGGAAATAATTCATAGAATAAATTAGTTCGTTTAATT